TCAAGTCATTATGACCCTTGGATCAACAATCAACCATCTACATCAAATTTGAAGGCTGAATCAGAGGAAAAGTTGTAAACAGAGATTGTAACCTACAAATTTAAATCAATACAAATCTACTTTGTACACGTGTTCTCTTCTCATTCGATACTGAATTTTCGTGATTACAAGGTTGTCACAACCTTCCCCCTCCCTAAAATTTCAACACTACTAAAGATCATAATTATAGAACAAACGTGGATAAAGGTCTCACATACGCTCCTCTGTCTCCCAAGTAGCTTCCTTGACATAATGGTTTGTCCATAAGACTTTCACCATACGAACGGTTTTGTTCCTGAGAACTTTGTCTTTCCAGTCAAGAATCGCCACTGGAACCTCATCATAAGTCAAATCTGTGTTAATCTTGGACCAACACAATGGTGTGCGACAAGGTTTCCTATAAAGCGCATCAAATGGTGACATACCAATGCTGGAGTGAAAGCTATTGTTGTAGTTGAATTCTATCAAAGGTAAGCGCTTGCGCCATGCATCTCCGAACTGCAGGACTGAAGATCTCAGCATGTCTTCCAACGTCTGAATAGTTTTCTCTGATTGCCCATCACTCTGAGGATGATAGGCGGTGTTGTATAGCAATTTCAAACCTAGAGCTTCTTGAAAAGCTACCTAAAATTTCGAAGTAAATCTGGGGTCTCGATCGGAAATAATACTAACTGAAACTCCATGATACTTAACAATTAGAGATTAAAAGTTCGGCTAACCGACTCAAAGTGTAGTTTTCACGAACAGGTAAGAAATGTGCTAACTTGGTATGCCGATCTACAATAACCCAAATACCGTCGTAGCCATTACGTGTACGAGGCAGCTTGTACATGAAATCCATTGTGATATCTTCCTATTTCCACTAGGGTATAGGAAGTGGCTATAGCAACCCGAATGGTTTCTTTTTTACCACTTTGACCTACTGACAGACCAAACAACGACTTAAGTACTTTGCAATTTCTCTTTTCATTCCTAGCCAGTAGTAGAAAGGTCAGAAAGTATGATACATCTTAGTACCCCTGGGATGCATCGCATAAGTTGAGATATGCGCATCATCAAGTATTTCTTTCTTTAGTTCTTCCACATTCGGTACATACATTCGATAGCCTTGCATAAGCATACCATCAGGCCTTTGAACCCTGAGATCTCCCCTATTGCCGTTCAACACCACTTACTTTAACTCTTAGGATTATGACTCGTTCATCTGGGACTCGAGAACACGATCCAATAAAACTAGTCTAACTTGAAAGTTGGCAAGTAAGGCTCCCTGGTGATCCACTCCCAAAATCACCCCGGTAGATCTCAGATCGGTTAGAAGAGGAACGCGACATGCATAAAGAGCATTAAGTCAACCGTGAGATTTCCTGCTGAGAGCATCTGCTTTAGTATTCGCACGACCAGGGTGATATTCAATAGCGCAGTCATAATCACTAATCAATTTCATCCATTTAGGTTGCCAGAGATTAAGTTATTTCTGAGTAAAGATATACTTAAGGCTTTTATGGTCAATGAAGATTCAGCACGTTTCCCTTTAAAGATAGTGTCGCCAAATTTTCAAAGTGAAAACAATAGCTGCTAATTCGAGATCATAAGTAGGATAATTCACCTCATGGGGCTTTAATTGTTGCGAAGCATACGCGATCACCTTTTCATGCTACATCAATACACAGCCTAAACCATTCAGAGAGGCGTCACTATAGATCCTGAAATTCCCACTGTCATCAGGAAGTGCCAAAACAGGCGCATGAGTGAGATAGTACTTCAACTGTTGAAAACTCCACTCACAATTATCACTCCATTCAAAATTAACTCATTTCCTGGTCAACCTTGTCAGAGGCAGTGCTATGGCCAAGAAGTCTTTCACAAAACGTCGATAATAGCCAGCAAAACCAAGAAAACTCCGTACTTCAGTGACAGTCTGAGGTTGCTCCCAATTTTCCACTGCTGCTACTTTCTAAGGATTCACAAGAACACCCTGAGCTAATATCACGTGTCCCAAAAATGACACCTGATCCAGCCAAAATTGGCATTTACTGAATTTAGCATACAATTGATTCTCCCTTAGCTTCTTCAAAACCAAACGTAAATGTCTAGCATGGTCAGCCTTGCTCTTAGAATGCACCAAAATGTCATTAATGAAAACAATTACAAACCTGTCAAGATACAGATAGAATACCCGATTCATCAGGTCCATAAAAGTTGCTAGAGCATTAGTTAACCTGAATGGCATCATGAGAAACTCATAATGACCATATCGAGTTCGGAAGGCTGTTTTAAGAACATCATCACTTCTGATCTTCAACTGATAATAGCCAGACCTTAGATCGATTTTCGAGAAAACACAAAAACCACAAAGCTAATAAAAAAGATCATCAATACGAGGCAAGGAATAACGGCTTTTAATTGTCACCCGATTCAGCTGTTTGTAATCGATACATAGCCTCAAAGTTCAATTATGACACTCAATGTAAGTGGCTATAGAAAGGAAATTAACCTATTCCCTCATAAGGGTTTTCTAGAGAGAAGAGAAAACCACAAAAAACTCTCTTTTCTCTTAGTAGGCCGGCTACCCTAGGAAGAATGGACTAGCATCCATCTGTTCCTAGGTCACTCATATCTTCCTCAATGCTCTCCTTGGTGTGGAAACTTAGAGGTTCCCTTTCTTGGGAACTTGGAGAATCCATTCCTTCATTCATATCCAAGAAGTCATGGAGCCAATAAGCAATGTTCCTCCATCCACATCAATGGAGCCAAGGAGCAAGGAGACTAATGAAAGAAGGCCCTCACATGGGTGAATATCCTTTGCTAAGCAAAGAGGTGCTTCAAAGGTATAAAAGTTTCTCAACTCTTTTCTTTAAGATTTGAGTTGAGTCTTGGTTGACCACAACTACAAGGCCTTCAATTTCATGGGTAAAGTTTTGTTTTTGAGTGCATACAAGCATAATTCCGCCTTTAATTGTTAATTGCATGCATAGATGATGCTCAAATGAACTTGTGTTCACAAATTATTCCTTCAAGTGGTATCAGAGCCTAGGTCTAGTAGTTGGTGAATCTTTTTGGGTTTTGTATTTTTATAATTTATGGTTTGAATGTTGTAATTGTTACAAGCTTTATTCTTACTTGTTTGAATGTAAATTTTGTTAGAAAATTTGCCATCTCAGAAGTTGTAGATGCAGTTCATTTAAGCATGAATTTTGGAGCTAAAAATTTGGTGCCATGTTTATGGGGAAATTTGGTGAAATCCAAGAGGTGGATTTTTGGGTTCTTGTTTGTCTTGTTAAAAGTGTTTAAAGTGACATTAGGAACCCCTAAGTACCCTAGGATGCTAACCCTCTTTTGAGTAGTGTAAATTTGAGTTTTATTGAGTGAAAACATTCATGGAGCTCGTATGGGTTTTCATGGATATTCTTCAATGTTCTTGCTTTGTTCTTGTTGGTCATACCAAGAACAAAAAGTTTGTTGCTTTGATTCAAAAAGGTGTTTGGTTGTTTATTTGTTTTTGTTAGGGATGGAAGGTATGATTTTTTGAACAACACCTATACCTTTTTTACTATTCACAACCATACCAATCACTTACAACTTTCAATCACCTTTTAAACAGACAAATCAAAGGTTCATAGTCATCCTAAGGCCCTAAAGCAACTATATAGTCCATCAATGAATGCAAAACTTATGTTAGTAGTACCATATACTCTTGCTTTAAAAATCGTTTTACAAGCGTAGTGGGAGTATCATATACTACTAAATCAATCACATTGACCAATAGTTGTAATATGACCAAATTGTTTTAATGAGATTAAAATGCATGCTTATATGTGATCAGACCTAAAAACCCTCAACCAAACCGCTATTAAGTTGACAAGCGTGAAAGTGCATTGAACACTCTTCCGTAGCCTTCCACCGTGGTAGGCTCCGATCGTTTGTGACTCATACACCGACTTCACCCTATCATGGGGGAGTACAAAGTATGTGCTTACACTCAAGAGGAGTTCTATACGCATACATGGTGTTGTGAAGGTAGGCAACAAGAATGATCAACATCGTATCATTGTGAGGTTGTTCTTGAACCCCTACCCGAACTTGCATGGTGGGAATGACTTAACTAAGTGCAATGGTGTCACCATCAATCATTTTGGTTATTCTGTGAAAATTTCTATTAAATAAGGACTAAAATGATAAAAATACCCTGAATTTAATTAACAATGGGTCAAAATGATTTGACAAAAATTGAAGGTATTTTTGTCATTTTTTGTTATTTAATGGAGATTTTTCACAAAAAGACCAATATAATTGATGGTGAACAAACTCAGGGCTACTTCCATCGATTTCAAATCTCATGAACCATTTTGGCTAAAAAGCACGTTGTTCAAAAACCATTGTTCTAAAATTCCCTGCCTAACTCCGCCTAGGTTGCTAGCCACTGCCACAATTAGTTCCTAGGCATTTGAAAATTAAGAAAGGGTGTTTAGGCCTGCTTAGGCATCCGCCTCGACCACCTAGGCACCCGCCTAACCCATCCGAACTCGCCTACCCACCCGCCTATGTTGAGACTCCCACTTAGACAGAAAATAGATAACTTTCATTTTGCATTTTATTTTTTTAATAAACTGTAAGAGACTTTTTGAATACTTAGATGAACACACATTATATTCTTGTTCACCACGTTTTCATTATGTTCTAATACTTTAGTAATCTATATGTCATTCTATTTTGCAATGTATGTATTCCAATAAAATTATGTATTTTTTAATTATAAGCACACACTTATTCATACGATACATAATAAATTTACTCAAATTCGTCTAGTCTGCCTATGCCCACGCCTAGGCACTAGGCTTCAACCCATTACCCAACTAGCACCTAGCGTCTTTTAAAACCTTGTAAATAACAAGATGCAATCAACTTTTCACACAATTTTAGCGCGGGGAAGAATGCTTGATTTGATTACAGAAACTCGTAAATTTGTGATAGACATGTCTAAAATAGTGAACATTTCACTCACACTCGTGAATTTTGAAGCAGTTTCAGCATGTAAAGTTAAAGACTCAACAGAAATGTGATGACAGTATAAGACCACAGCAAGCAGTTCAATAACGAGGACAATCAATAGTGTTTGGTTTATTTTGTACTACCAAAATCTTGGAAACCGGCTTCCACTCGAGTACATGACCTGAAAATCTCTCTATTTCATTACTTCTCTGCTGTACCCACTTGCTGCCTAATTCTGCGAGCACAATTTTCAAATGTTTTTACAACGCCAGCACATTTCAGAGGGTTGTCGGCATGCTCCTTGTAGCAAGACAAGCAAGCATCCTTTTCATTTGAGCAGGGCATAGGCTTCTGGAATGGAAGCTTGAACTCCTTATCACGAAGTTCCTTTGCTTTTTGTGTCACTTCCTGCAGCATTTTCTCGTCGTGTTTCTGCAACCGCTCCACAACCCTCTCGCTTTCTTGCAGAACAGATCTGATGGCATCAAGCTCTGCATAGGGTGACTGTGAAGGAGGAGGGGTTACAGGCATGAATAGAGGAGACTGAAGAGGCCATGCTTTGGCACCTGGTCCTTTGAGTGTTTTAGAGTCATCAGAACCCTGCTTCTGAGTTATCCTTGCTTGGGGATGCAAAGGCTCTCTTGGTACCTTTTTAGTTCTTATAGGTTTCCTCTTTGACTTCTCAGCATCCTCGGCAAGCTTTTTAACCAGATTGGAGCTAATCTGAATACTAAAATTGTCCATAATCGGACGGTTCCCTGATAAGATACCTAGAAGGCTGGAAATATGCCTGATTAGAACCTAAATAAAATGACTATTGAAAGAGAGACAATAACTGTAAAACATTGCAGCAACAAACTCTAGACTTTGAGAGAGGATTTCTGTCAGAAATAGAAACGGAAACCAACAATTCTCGCATTCTTAAAATTTCAAGTGTGGAACACTACCCCTATATTGTTTCAAATCTTATGTATATCTGGGTTGGTCAGCCAGCTGGTGATTTCATCAGTCGAAAATTTTTAGTTGTTTGAAAGATAAACAAACAGTATATTTTATAGCGGTGTAATTCCCTTCACCTCATGCATGCTACCGACAATGGCAGTAGGATACTAGTAATTGAGGATCCTCAGCCCAATTCTTGGATGAAATTCAACAGCCAGGTGTGCATACACATTATTATCAAACACCAGAGAAAATGACTATAAACTTACTAAAGTTCCAATGTACAACTGTACCATTGCGGTTCAATGAATCTCTTAACTTTCACAAATTATGCTGCATGCGTAACTAATATTGAAATTTGAAATTCAAGATCAAGTTCAAGAAAATAAAGCCTATTCAAAAAGTAAAATATGAATTCTGTTGCTGGATTTTAATGGTTATAGCTTCATTGGTCAGACAGATGCATTATAATATATGATACATACAATGGATTTCCTTAGATATTGAATAAATCCCATCTCCCGAAACTCTAAGCGAGCCTAAGTTGTGGGGTCTTAGTTCGTACACCTTCCAGCAGACAAAGGCTTGCTACAACTGTTTATTGCCAATATAGAGAATATATACTAGGCTTACTACAAGTGCTTATTGCCAATATAGAGAATACATACTACACAGTCCTCCCAAAGTTTGAAAAGACTCTTTGAGAAAGGTATCTTATTTACATATAGAAGATATTCAACCTCAAGTTCTGATAACATTAAACTCATTTGGGGGGTTTAAATCAACACAAAGTTACGAATGGAAAAGAAACCCATCACAAGGATTACATACCTTATCCATGCATATAAGGACATCCACTTAAGTTAATCTATAAGTGCAACTGAGACAACGAAAAAAAAATACACACATCTCAAACAGAACAAACCATCTGATATCTTGTTAACCTTTTTCTTTCTTTTCACATTTCCAGGCCTAATGTTACAAACACAAACAGTAAAGCTTGCGCAAATATATCTATGACAAGTGCAATAATTAGACTTTGACATGTACTAAAATCAAGTATTGAAGACAACAATACAATAGAGAACAAATCTTGACAGTTAAACTTTCTATCACAATCTTTTGGGCGCATTATTATTCCATAATGTGTAACCAGTAGATTTAAAACTCCCTAATCTGTAACCATTTTAGTTTCAAACTCAGGAAGTAAAACACGGGTAAAATAAGGCGGACCGTATCACTTTTGTTCAACTGAATTCAGGTCGCATTAATATGCATACTTACAAAGCCAGTCTCTGCATTTCCTCCTGAATAAGGAAAATAGCGGTCTAAATTCACCTATTTTCTATGAGAATTATGATTCGTAAAACCCCAAACACTAGTCAAGAAGTGAAATCAGAGACCAGAATTTCGGTAAGCCTCAAGGGTCCTAAAAGCAACTATATTTCAACTCTGAAGATCATGAAAACTAACAAGTCACAGCCCCGAAATTTCACAAACAATGGCAGTGGAAACAACAGCCCTAGTATACATATCGACCCAAAATCTCCGCAGCATCAAATTCATGTAAAAAATTGCCACAACATTACCCACAATTATACAAAAAGCAATTGAAAGCTAAACTAACAGAACCTTCAACACACGAAAGAGCAAAAAAAAAAAACCAAACTGATTCGTCAGATGCTTCTTTGAGGCATTTAATCAAACAGCTTGCAGGCCAAATATGCATAACCCTAAAAGTAAGATTCCGGAACGAACTGTGAAAAAAAGAAACCCTAATTCGACGAAGGATTGATCTGCGAAAAGAAGAAAGAAGGAGAAGGTGAACCTGGCTGTGCCTCTGGAGGAAGACAATACGACGAAGAGCGCTCTATAGGCGCTTTGGGCCGCACTTTCTTCTGCTGGATATGGGCATCGGTGAAACAACAGACTTCGCGGAGAGGAAGAAAGTGGGCGGAATTGTTTAAAGTTTTGGGTAGGAATTGTAAGGCCATCTCCAACCCAAATGAGGATAAAAAATAGTCTGAAAATCGTCTCTAACCGAAGGCCAGGCCAAAGAGCTCGTGGATTTCACAAGACATAAATGAACTAAAGGGCTAACCGGCTGGCCCAATTCAGCTAGTCAGCTAGCCTCAGGCAGGCCCATAGTTTGAATGCAACGGCTAGTTGCTGACGTCACAATTTTTTTTTCCTGTAACTTTTTAAATTAAGTAACATGAAACAACATTACATTAAATTAAGTAACATGAAACAATATTAAACAATATTAAACAATATTAAATAACATTAAACAAACATAAAAATTATGCAACATGAAACTTAAAAAAAACATTTTTAAAAACATTTAACAACATAAAACTTAAATGCCTACTCCATGCTTCTTTTGGCCCAAAAATGTGCAACAAGATCCTGTTGTAGGTACGTGTTTGTGGCACAGGAACGTATCATCCTATAGCGCCTCATGTACTCATTTAAAGAGATACTACCAATTATTGGATTCAAAGGCAAATTAGGCACATCATATATTTGTTGTACTTTTATGTAAAAACAGAAGCGAATTCTAACAAAGTACCAATTTGAACGTCGTAGGTGAAAGCTAAAACAAACAATCTCAAACTAACACAAGAGATTTACGTGGTTCGACATAAAGCCTACGTCCACGAGCGAAGCACAACAAGAAATTTCACTAAACAAACTAAGATTACAAAAGAGTGTTTAAACTCTCACAACCCAAATCCCACTAATTATAAACCCTAAACCAAACGAGTAAAGAACCCAAAACTAACGGAGAAGTTTCTCCCAAATTAATCTTTAACTCACAAACTCACAAATTGACTCTCACCAAATTGCCACACGAATGAGCCACACAAAATACACTAACCATAAGGTCCTATTTATAATGCATAGGATTTAGGTTACAATAAGAATCCTAATAGGAAGTAAATCCAAATCCTAATCAAATAGGTTATTAACAAAATCTCTCCACCAAGGAAACTAACTAAGAAGTCAAATAGACTCAAAAAATCCAAAAGTCTTCAAACTTGAAATTTCCTCCAATGCCATCTCCAACAAATTCCATTACGGAAACTAACAAATACAAAACAAAATCCAAGCAAAAGCTTGAAAATACGAACAAAAAATGTGAATTGCACTCCACCCAAAGAGCTTAAGTACCAAGCTCCACCTCTTCACATAACCTTTAGAGGAGTTCAGAACAAAGATCTTCTGTAATGTTTGCATCAACACTAGCAAAAGGCTTATCAAACGACTTCTTTTTGCCGAGTTTAGAGCAATCTACTTTCCAATGACCTTCTTTATAACAATAGCTACAAGTGTTATTTCCAAGTTTGCTCTTTCCTTATTCCTTCCTTGAACTACCAAGGCTCCATCTTGTGTGTCAGACACTTTATTCTTTAGCTCTTTAGAATTCAAAGCAACTTTAACATCTTCCAAACTAAGACTTTCTCTACCAAATAGCATGGTATCGACAAAGTGTTCATACGAAGGAGATAAAGAACACAACAAAGTTATTTGGTCGTCCACACTTTTCAAATCCATCATAAGTTTATTGAATTCATCAACATGCCTATGAATTGATGTACCTTCATCCATACGAAGAGTATGCAAACTTTTCTACAAATACAACCGTTTAGCAAGAGATTTGGTCATATACAAACTCTCCAATTTGAGCCACAACTCCGGAGATTTGACATTACCAACTTCACACAAGACTTCATTAGATAAAGTCAGCAGAATTGCATCAAGTCCCCGCTTCATAACATCTTCCTTTTCCTCATCAATCCACGAATTCGGCAAAGCCTTCATATCCTTTAGCGTTTTCAAAAGCCCTTGTTGAACTAACAAAGCATGCATATTCAATTGCTAAATACCAAAGTCATTGCCATTGAACTTTTCAATATTAACTTTCACATATGACACATAAGGCTTCATGGAGACTGCCAAGCAAAGTCCAAGCCGAAAACCTGGCTTTGATACCATTTGTTGTACTTTTATGCGCAAACGGAAACGAATTCTAACAAATTACCAATATCAACGTTGTAGGTGAAAGCTAAAACAAACAATCACAAACTAACGCAAGAGATTTACGTGGTTCGGTGTAAAGCCTACGTCCACGAGCAAAGCATGATAAGGAATTTCACTAAACAAACTGAGATTACAAAAGAGTGTTTAAACTCTCACAACCCAAATCCCACAAATTATAAACCCTAAACCAAACGAGTAGAGAACCCAAAACTAACGGAGAAGATTCTCCCAAATTGCTCTCTAACTCACAAACTCACAAATTGACTCTCACCAAATTGCCACACAAATGAGCCACACAAAATACACTAACCCTAAGGTCCTATTTATAGTGCATAGGACTTAGGTTACAATAAGAATCCTAATAGGAAGTAAACCAAATCCTAATCAAATAGGTAATTAACAAAATCTCTCCACCAAGGAAACTAACTAAGAAGTCAAATCCAAACTCAAATAATATACCAAAACCAAATAGGTAACACAAACCTAATTTATTGCATCATCTTAATTTTGAGCTAAAAACCCAACAATATTTTTGCACGAGCCTTTCTTGACCTATCTGGATCTTATTGGTCGTCATCAGAATCTCTATCAATATACCCATCTCGTTCATCTTCCACAATCATGTTGTGTAATATGATGCAAGACGTCATGATGGAATCCAAATGTTCTCAACTCCACCCTCTTGCCGTTTCCTTGATGATCTTCCACCGTGCTTGTAGAATACTGAAAGCTCTCTTAACATCTTTCCGGTATGATTCTTGTTGTAAGGTAAACCACTTTTTGGCGTCATTCGCAGGGTTTGGAATTACTTGGACAAATGTCACCCACTTTGGGTCGATGACATATGCTAAGTAATACCCCATATTGTACTGACACCTGTTGATGCAGTAGTCAAGTTGAGGTGATTTACCTTCTATCAGGTTATTAAAGAGGGGTGAACGCCCCAGAACTATAATGTCATTTTGGGATCCAAGGACTCCAAAGAAAGCATGCCATATCCATGTGTCATACGAGGCAACCGCCTCTAATACAACAGTTGGCTTTCTCGACCTTCCGCTAAAGCCTCATTGCCATTTGGTATGACAGTTCTTCTAATTCCAATGCATGTAGTCTAATGACCTTATCATGCTTGGAAATCCACGGTCTTCAGCTTTGCGAATGAGCTGATCCAGATCTTCTTGATTTGGCTCGCGGAGGTACTCCTCTTTGTAAAGTTGAACAATTATGTTACAGAATTCAGAAAGAGTATCAAGGCATGTAGACTCAAACATACCATATGTTTCATCCATCGAATCAACTGGGGAGCCATATGTCATCATTCTTAGTGCAACAATAACCTTCTGATGAGGTGAGAAACCAAGGCGTCCTACTATGTCCAACTTCTATTGAAAGTATGGATTGACATGATAGACATCATGCAGTAAACGCTCGAAGACATGACGCTTCATCCAGAAGCAATGTCTGAAATCATCTTCTGTGTACACCGAGTTGGGGTTGACGTAGTTGTTCATTAGATTGGCATGTGTCATCGCTCTGTTTCGTGGTTTGTAAGAGCGACCAGCAACAGAGCCACCCCATTGAGGTTGTTCCTTAGTTGGCTAACACACCATGGCCGCAGCCATGGCTACCACATATTGTGTGTTACGCCATGCTTCATCATCTTCATCAGACTCCTCATCTTCTTGTCTCATCTTTTCTTCCATTTTGGAATTGGATGAGGACCCCTAGTTGGAATCCGAAGAGGATTCAAAGTTGGAATTCATTACAAACTTGAATTGAAAGATATTGAATTCAAAAGTGTGTGAATTATAGCCCATAATCCACCTTATTTATAGGCCAAAAAAATTCAAATCTGACGGCTAGCTGACGTTAGTTACCGTTGGATTTGAATTTTTTTTTTTCAGCCTAAATTTTTAAATTTTTTTTTTAAATTATCATTTTTTTTCCTATAAATTTAAGTTGTTGTAGTTTTTTAATTTAAGTTGTAGTTTTTAAATTTAAATAATAAATTATGTTTGGCCCTATGGCCCTTTGGCCCTCGGTTGGAGATGGTAGGAAATATGGCTCTGCATTGTTCATTAGAATATTAATTTCTTGGAGGGCCAGAGGGCTAAAACAAGCCTTCTGGCCCTCCTTCAGTTGGAGATGGCCTAAATACCTATAAATTTTGAGCGGGCAGCATAGAGGACAAGGCCTGGATTTGGGGGCCAGCCTAATTTAACTAAAGCAATTTTGGGTTGGGCTAGATCAATTAACAAGCCTGGATAGATTCATGGGTGCGCCTATTTGCTTCAACTTTTAGTTTCGAGAGCTCAATCTAAGAGAAAATTGTAGCAATGGACTCTCAACTTTATTCCAATTGGAGCAATGGTAATTTAACTAAAAATCCATGACCATTAGTCCCTTAACTCATCAAAACGTGCAGCTATGGTCATTTTCATGAACTCTGTCAGAATTTCGCCAAAATGAGTCATGTTAGAAGGATCATTGCTATAATTAGGTTAAAGTTGAGAGATTATTGGTCCAATTGGGTTGGAGTTGAGGGACCATTTCTCCATGCTCTTTGCCCTCCCCACAATGACGGCTCTGTTATCTTGGGGAGCGTTGAAGCTTGCTTCTTCTCCAGAGTTTTCTTGGTCATCAATACGACCTGTCCTTAATAAAACCGATCTGATTCTCTGAACAATCAGAATTTCGTACATCTGTCGGATCCTCCCTATCTCCTGATCGAGCTTGTGTAGGTAGATGTTGCCTACACATGATCTTTATAGATTTGGAAAAAGCATATGATAGGGTCCTAAGAGACATTCTTTGGAGGATTTTAGAGAAGAAAGGAGTACAAGTAGCATATATCTAAGTTATAAAGGATATGTATGATGGAGCAAAGATTGCTGTAAGAACTCTTGAAGGACAAACCGAAAGCTTCCCCATA